TATTTTTGTATTATAAAAAAGTAACAGAAAATACTGAACAATTATCGGCACTCAGCTTAGGCTTAGACCTGGGCTTAGAAAATCGAACACAATTCTTGCCCTCAAAATACGCCTGCCTGTGGCTGCAAAATTTTTTTACAAACTGCACGTTGAAAGCGTAACAAGAGCATATATAACCTCATTAAAGTCTTTAATTCTCTTGGAATTATCCATTCAATGGAATTTCAAACCTGTCTAATACAATAACTCTGAAATCATACAAGTTAGCGACTTCTTTGTCGTAAAAGATGATTTGAAACAAAACGATTAATGACGCATCACTTATATGATACCGCTCACAGCTTATGCAAAAACAAAAACGTGATTTCACATAAAAACGCAAGGGATGCATCGTCATAACTTCTTTCAAAAGAAATATTACCTAAAAGGAAAAGCAGCGTTAGGCTCAGCTTGCCCTGGCGAATCCTACGGTATGCCAGACTGCAACATCATGAACATCGTGAAACCGTCTAACTTTGCATAGGGGCGTAAAAGCCCTACGCAAAGTTTCAGACGAATTCGCGATGTTTTCCTACCATATCTACCGTACACCTTAGATGTTACTTGGGGGCGTTATATAGCAGTCTGACGAAAAGTTTGAGACGGACTCGCGATGTTGACTCCCTACCTCGTCTACCGTACACCTTAGATGTTACTGTATTCTGGCATACCTTAGGATTCGTGTGGATTCTATATTCTAGCATCTAAGCCGAAAAGTTTTTCTGGGGTTATCCGCTTACACCCCAACCTGACTATTTGGTTTATCTAGCGTGCGTTTCCTCTGCATCTCAGTGCTGCGTACTTATTTAGAAATTTTCATAAAGGGATCATACCTTGGTTGACATAGAGTGCCTTGAGACCCACTCCAGTAGCTGCAAGAGTTCCGATGCAGACGGCGGCCTGAAAATGTTGCTTGAAAAGCTTGAAGAGTGATTTGATAGCTTGAAACTGTTCACCTTATAGCGAATACGTCGACAATAATCAGAATGCTGGCTGTCGGTCACCGTGAGCATTTCCAGCAGCACGGGAACGGCGCCTTGAGCTACAAGTGCTTCTTCGTATCGACGAGCAGCCAATCGAGACAAGACTGTTACAATCTGAAAAACTAGGATTTTTTAGTGAAAACTAGGAAGCCTAGAGGTTTACCTGCTCCTGTACAAATATTGACGAGCAATCCTGTTTATTGTAGGCATTAATTAGTCGAATAATGGCATTATTTCTAAAAATTTTCTTCATATTCTATTGTAAATGTAAATAATTTCTAAGTATTACTGATAAAGTGTATCAACTGCTTGCGGATCCTGTAAAGAAACATTGGATAAGGCGGCTGACACCAAAAGCAGCGTCTCACTAGTAGTGCAGCTGTCAATGAGGTCTGCAAAATTTTGAAAACTTATACTGATTTTCACTTTGTAAGGTGTGTATGTTCCTTACCTAATAGTCTAACCAAAATTGGTCCAACATTGTGCAGTTGCACAAAAGCATGATGAGGATTTGTGAGTTGCGTCAGAACACCGGAAGCTTCTATGGATACTGCAATATAGTTCCCAGAAAGATGTGACAACACCACATCGAGACCACCGAGCTGAAAATGAATGTCTTGGGGCATATATGGCGTTTAGAAAGAATATTTGATTGACTTCAAAATTAGTTACGCGCCAAAATCAGTTAACGTGAAGTGATTGTATTTTCATCAAGTTTAGTCAGTTCCGCGGTAACCACATTTCTACTGCAACATTCAACTACAACGAAGCTGTAAGAGCTTCTTAAGGAGTGCAGAGTTACTTAAGGTGATTTGTCAAAAAGTACATAAAAATACAAAGAAAGCAATATGCGAAAAAAAGGAGAGTAAAGAATTACGCATCACATAATTTAGTATCTAGATATGCCTGAACACAGATGCATAAGAATTTTCTTTTTATTCCACGCGATGAGATTGACTAAATCC